TCTCTCTCTCTCTCTCTCTCTCCTTCACTTCTCCCCTCTCTCCTTCACTTCTCCCCTCTCTCCTTCACTTCTCCCCTCTCTCCTTCACTCCTCCCCTCTCTTTCCCCTATCGTATCCTCTCCTTCCCTTCTTTCTCTCCACATCTTTCATTTTAGCTGAAAGTTAAAATTACACATTACCTTCAAAGTCACCAGTGTCGGCGACAACAGTAGTGACAGCCTTCAGTTGGTCCAGTACGGAGGGAGCCATTTTAATGATGTACGAGTTGAGACCTTGAACTTTTCTATATCTACAAAGGAAGAAAAACAAAACAACACATTATGACCATGGCCTCCACTCTTGCTGTATGTTTATAACGGTGGGGTATAAATTAGTATTATACAAGAGCCCACGTCAGTCAAGATAAAGAGGCACCTAGAAGGCAGAAGGCCTAAGCATTGTGCTAAATCACAGTGACAATTAGGTTTCGGCACTAGAATTGTTATATGGTCGCTTTTAAGGACAAGCGGGTTAGCCCAGATTTCGTGGGTTTCCAGAAGTCTTGACCAACACCAAAAGTGGGCATTGCCCTACCTACAGGAGAAGTGTGATTTCATAGGTGTGTATATTTGGTTGGTTATAGAGAAAACTCTCCTTGTCTTTTATAGAAACTGAACAAGGGGCAAAAACTTTACCTTCGGTTTTCTCACAACAGCATGTTTCGGCATATCCCCATTGTGCTTAAAAGCGACCATATTATTCTCTAAATCCTTTGTGACCATTCTCATTATTTACAGTTAAGTTTTAATAAGAGTTTTACAGCCCATGCAACACTATTATATTAGGGTCATATAAGCGCTGAAGATTAGATAAGAGGTCTTACAATAGAGTAACATACACACAAAAGGAGGAGAGATAAGGATTAAGGACGATAGACATTTGATGGGGAAAAACGAGGAATTCACACCAGAGCACCAATTAACCACCCACATTCTTTACATTGCTCATATTTTTTCATGATACGATCAAAACCATCACTGATTTTTCATGTCTCTTCTTCCTCTGTTACAACGGATCATTTTATCTTTGCCGATCTTCTGCCTTCGGGTGCCTGCTCACTTTTATGTACATGCATGTAGGCCTTTATTAGATACTATATAACATAAAATATTCTACATATTCCACTCGACCGACAGGCTTGCCTGCCTGCCTGCCTGCCTGTCTTTCTGG